GAAGATCATTACAACTTTTTTTATTTTTTTTTTCAAGATATACAGTATATCTTTGAAGATCATTATGGCTTTTTCCTTTATTTTTTCTCCAAGATATACAGTAGCCTTCTGTATATCTTGAAGATCATTATGCTTTTTCCTTTATTTTTTTCACCAAGATATACAGCAGCCTTCTGTATATCTTGAAGATCATTACTAAAGCTCCGAACGGTTCAGTTTGGTTTAAAATCTGAATTTTTAAAGGCCAAACCGAAACCGAACCGTTCAGTTTGGTTCAGTTTTTCGGTTTACATTTGAACCAAAAATTTCAGGTATCCTAAATTTGTTAACTATGCAAAAATAATTGAATTTAGTAATGTGTCGCAAAAAAATTTTTTTTTGGTGGTAATTATATACTAGCTGCATACCATACTGCTTATACCAGCCGCACACCATATACATAATACACTGACCATGTATAATACTATATAGTCAAAAAGGTATTGAATTTAGTAATGTGTCGTAAAAAAGTTAAAAAAAATTTTTTTTTGGTGGTAATTATATACTAGTTGCATACCATACTGCTTATACCAGCCGCACACCATATACATATTACACTGACCATGTATAATACTATATATATAGTCAAAAAGATATTGAATTTAGTAATGTGATGTAAAAAAGTTTAAAAAATTTTTTTTTTGGTGGTAATTATATAGTAGCCGCATACCATACTGCTTATATCAGCCGCACACCATATACATAATACACTGACCATGTATAATACTATACATATAGTCAAAAAGGTATTGAATTTAGTAATGTGCCGTAAAAAAGTTTAAAAAATTTTTTTTTGGTGGTACAGTGTGTAAATTTCAGTGTGTAACTAATGCAGATTTCTACAAATTTAGAAACTATCTGCAGAAAACTGCTAATGTACGATGTTACACCCGCACATTCCGCACATTGAATTTTATACACTGCTTTTGATAATGGAATAATTCGATAAATTCATAAAATTTTCTGTGCCAACCCCATGAATTTAACGAGCTTTGACTGTTGTCTAGAACATTAAGTCATCCCACCATCAAATTGACAGTATCTTTGTTGTATTTTTTGATCCTGTAGCTAAGATTACCGTAAGTAATCCAATTGTTGTGCCAATCAATCCTGGAATACCGTTTTCTCAAATAGTGGAGGTTCATGTACCAGCAAAGTTACCTAAATTCATACGGTATTGGAGTTACTGTTGAGGATATACAAGCTACGACTTCTTTAGGCTGTGCATATAATATTTGTTGGTGATGCTGCTAATCTGCAGATATTGACTTTTATCCCATCTCATTATAATAAAAATCAAATAGAATAATTTAATGGTTAGTTATTTTTTACAACGGATTCTACTCAATTTAATTAAATTTATATATTTTATTATTTTATATTGTCGCTGTCATCATATATATTTGTATGTTGATTTAAAACAAGCAAATTCGAAATATTTAAAATTTTATAATTCTTTATTCAGTATGAATAATCTCGGTAATTTCATATCCAATATCGCATGGCAATTTGAAAAATGTGAAAAAAGTGCTTTACATTTTCAATTATATTGTGAATTAAAAAGTTCATAAAGATCAAAAATGCGGGATCATATTGAGATAAGAAGCAATTGATTATTGTGTAAAAAAGAAGAGTCGATGGTTAGTGAAGATTGGGACCCAAAAAAGAAAAGATCAAAAAACTGACAAATTCAAGAAATCGAAAACTCTTTTCAAATAAATCCATATTAATATCCACATAGAAGATCTATCGTAAAATATTTTACCAGATATTGGAAAAACTTCATTTGTAAGGCATAATTTTGTTCATGTTCACTTTATTATAAAGATAGATTGGTTGTTTTTTATGGTTGGATAATTATTGAGGTTATTTGGTGAGAATACACAACGTCTTCTTGTCAGGGATTGTAAACATGGGTAATATAAAATTATATACAAATTATTACAATTTATTTATTTGACTCTTAAAATTATAAATTGTAAAAAAAAAATTATAACTCAATAAACAAATAAAACACAAGATATACAAGTCATCATTTAGAAATGGAAGAATTTCTCTTGATTCAATTATTAAAAATCTTGAAGATATAAATAAACAAGAAAATTTTTGCTAGTAGCATTAGCAATAGAAATATTATACTTTTGATTTATTAACAATTTCAACATAATAAATTTCCTCAATTATATACATATTATATTAATTCTTAATATGGGTGTAATATTGGTAAAAGATAGATAGTAATCAAAATAATTATTAATAATATGATTTTTACTTGATTAGATTTTATTCGGTTTTGGTCGTCCATCATTTGGTTTTGGTTATCTATCATTCGGTTTTGACCATCTCTAATCTTACTTGCAAAAAATTTAAATTTTTCTTCTATCGAATGGAGCCTTTCTTCTATGGTGATGAATCTTGCTTCAATAATACTATCTTTTGGTATAAACGCGGGGAGGTCTTGACGTAGATCGTATATATTTGAGAGCAAAATTTTATATTCTGATGTTTCCTTTCTTTGTATTGCTGGATTAGAATAACCATCTTTGAGAGATGTAACGAAAATCCCTAAAGTATATTCAGGGTACCTTGATAGCACACCTTCAAAATCGCGAATTTCCTTGACTTCTACTTTTTATTCGAGTAATTTTTACATTGTACAATTAACAAGTACAATTTATAATTTCCCACAATGTCCACACCACCATCACCCTGTGAAATCCTACATAATAAAATAAAGTATTTATGAGCAAATATTATCATTGTCATCAAGGTAAATACATAGGAACCAAGTACGAGCATTTATAATACACACATCCTATTCATCACAACTTATGGAGTCTCACCAATAAGCTTTCGGTTACAGAGCAAATAGAGAAGGACGTTCACCAGTACGATTACTTGGCTCTAATAACCTGACTCGGTGGCCACGTGGAGCTTCCAGTTCTCTATTTGTCGTGCTTCCTAGTGACAGCGTAACTTCAGATGCATAATGACTAAACAATCACTCAGTGAGATAACCCACCTTACTCGTTTACAATCAACCTTCATACTTGTAAGTACTCGAGAAACTTTCTTTTCAAAATCGTTTCCTTTTGCAAAAGCAGAATTGTTCATATTGTTATAAGGTAATTTTTGAGGTTAAAGATTTGTTTTTACTTACCTGTTTATATATATATATAAATCTAAGCGACAATGTGTTTAATATCCTAAAATGTGAATAACCCACCTTATTTATTACTTTAGATTTCTTGGCTGACGTCAATCAGATTACATAAAAAAATCGGTTGAGTAACCTTTGATTGATTGATAACATCAATGTCACAGTAAAATTACACACAGTCAAAGCTCATTAAATTCATATTCAATAAATTCATAATTGCCTAAATTCATAATTTTTTCAGGAACCAATGCCACTTATATTAAAATCCTATTCGATAATTTCATAATCATAATAAAATCTTGATAATTGATAAAGTCATTGCTCTTTAATTTCATATATTGTGTAACCATTAAAATATGGATTACCATAACCATTAAAAATATTGACTATTTTACATAAGTAATAATTCGATTTTTTGGATAAATCATCAAGTCACATTATTTTAAGAACTTTATTAACCATTGAAAAAATGAATTCAAACTTTCAAATTAAGCATAGAATTACAGATGATAATGAAGTTTCAATTGACAAAAAAGGAACAAAAAACAACTTATCTTTTCTTGAAAAATGTAGAATTTGCGAAGAGCTTTTAGTTAAACCAAAACCACTCTTCAATTTCAGGAAATGCAGCTTGACAATTTCTTTCTTTATTTAAGTCTGTTGTTTCTGAATCTAAAGCAAGATATTTATCCTTATTTTTAAAAATTTTAGAGATTGCTGTTTGAGTGACATTATTATATTTAGCTGCTAATTCTTCTTGTGTTAAATACTTTGTCTACTTTTCGGAAATTTCATTCACAATTATTTAACAAAAATTTTTTTATTGAAGATCTTATCTTTTTATAGAAAAATCTCTATAAAGTCATACATTTCCTATTATGAAATTAAAAGAGCGACTTTTGATCAGTGTGTAAATTTCAGTGTGTAACTAATGCAGATTTCTACAAATTTAGAAACTATCTGCAGAAAACTGCTAATGTACGATGTTACACCCGCACATTCCGCACATTGAATTTTATACACTGCTTTTGATAATGGAATAATTCGATAAATTCATAAAATTTTCTGTGCCAACCCCATGAATTTAACGAGCTTTGACTGTACAAGATGAAATTTATGCCACGAAGAAAGCAAATTAGCCAAAAGTGATATTCTCGAGTGTTTCATGTATATTAATATGCAAATGGAATCCATGAATTACAGCATTAATAATATTAATATTAAGGCAAGAAAATTAATTGCTCCTTATGTTTTCAAAATAAACAATACCCAGGTAAAATCTCATGATTACATAATTGGGTTAATCTTGTCAAAAATCTTTTTGTAAAATAAAAATCATAATCCATATCACATCCACACCATATAAATCTTTGTATAATTTTATTTATTATAAAGCTAAAGAAAAAAAACTATAAATTACATAAAATAATTACAAATTATCTTTAAAAAAAAAATAAATTATTATTATTGCTATTATTAGAATTTGATAATGAACAAAATTATTTATAATAAAATCAAACAAATCCAAATTATTAAATTACTTATTATATATTTTTTTTTTTTGTAATAAAAATGTCCTTTATTTTATATACAAATCTAAATATAACTAATCCTGTCGTTCTTGTAAAGGAACTAAATTATTATCATCACCTGCAATTGCTTGATCTCCATGTTCGCCTACTCCCTCAGCAAAAGCTATTTCATTTTCAGTCGTTATACCATCAGTTGTATTTGTTTGACCTCCTTCAAATAACCGTACACTAGGAGAAGAAGAGAAAGAAAATATAAATATGAATATAAATTCACACACACACACACACACACGTATATATGTATGTATATATATATAACAAATTACATTATTTGTGGTGTCTTTAACCAACGTCTACCGCCACTATTCCTTTCATGTGGCCAAACATCCTCAAAGAAATAATATATATGACCAATTATAATTCCCAATGTATCACCTATAGGAAATACATTATTTAACAAAAGTGAAAATCCAAGTAAAACCCATGGAAGATACGGTGCACCAAATACGAATAGTCCAATAAAATTTAATCTTATAAAAGGATTTCTCCGTGACCAAATGTAAACTAATGTAAATGCAAGCGGCGATCCTAAGAATGGTATATTTGTAAGTGGTGATAGACACTAATATTATGCAATAATCATTAATTAGTCAATTAATTAATTAAAAAAAATCAACTATTGTATATATAGAAAATTAAATAAAATTTCATACGAGTAAAGCAACTGCCGATATAAATATTAACCAAAAATAATCTGCTGTACGTCCACGAAATGAACCTTCCTCCAACATACGACTATATCTTACTCTGTTATTTTTCCATAAAATTAACAAAATCTTAAGGATATATACATATAATATTTCCATCAGTTCATCAAATCAATCAATCCATTAAGAATTTTGAAATCAAAAGGATACAAAAAAAACATATGATATAGAAAATCAAGTGAAAATGGACCAAAATATAAAAAATTTGTAATTAATCTCCAAAACTATATATATCATTTCCATAAAGAATGAAATATTAGTAATCTATAAATTATAGTAATCATAATTTAAAAGCAATCCAACTATTCATTACCTGACGACCATTAAAAGTCTGATCAAAGTTTAAATATAATTGAAATGGAGTCACGAATCCAACTTGCTAATCAAAAATAAAATCATGTACCAATGTTAATAAAATAAATTGGATTTAGATGAATATTAATTTTTTTTTTGAAAATGATTTCATACTACAGCCAAGCTTATCAAAACAGCAGCCGTTGCATATGTCCTTGTTATTACGGGTACTTCATAATACCATTCTTCGATTGGGATTGCCATTGTGTAAATAATTTATTAGATTGTTATTATCTATTACCAGAAAAAAAATTTCCCCTTCTGAAATTATGACTCTAGAAATTAAAAATTATTATTAATTCGTTATTTGATCTATATGATGTTGTACGTTGCACACAATATGTCTTTTTCTGATAGGTTACATTTTTCAAAATACTGACTGGATATTAATATATTTATTTATTTTTTAAATTAAAATTAAAATCTATCTCATATAATAATAATTATATTACATACTAACAAAAACAAAATAAAAGCAAACAAATAATAAATATCAATCGGTCAATTAATCTCCAATTCATTCAGCTTTAACGGATGTTTTTCCTTTACTCGTAATTGTCGAAGGTTTTGCGTTATAAGTTTTTCGATAGAATCCAATGAATAAAAGTAAATAACTACTCAAAAGTCCACATCCAAAGATTGCAGCTCTTTCACTACCAGCGCAAGATCCATGATTAGGCATCCAAGGCCAATATGTTGCGGTGAAATATGTATAAGAACAATAGTATACAAAAACCAAATCAATTACAAATTGAACAATTTGCAATGTCGTAAGGTATTTTTTCCACCAAATCCTTGCACCTCCAGCAGCTCGGAAATAATAATAATACATAAACACGTGGACAGTTAAATTTAAAGTTATTGGCACCCAGGACTTTTTTAAGAATAAATAAATAAATTAGAATTGAAATTGGTAATTTTTTTTATAATTATATAAATAAATCAAGGATTTACCACAGAAGTTCTTCCTGCCAATTGTGTAAAACAAAGAACCATGGTCATACTATGATGAAATACATGCAGAAATTCTTTTCAGGGAAATGAAAATTTTTAGTTAAAATAAAATAATAATAATAATAATAATAATAATAATAACAATTACTATGACAATTTATTACCTAAATTTTTCTTTTTCAAGACCAAGAAAACTGTATCAACAAGTTCCCAATATTTTACTAAATAATTTAAATAATATAATAATTCCAATTTTTGAGTCCAAGCATCATTGTTACAAACTGCATAGAAGATTCCATTACGCCAATAAATAGGTAAAAGTTGTTCAAAGAACAAAGCTAATAGAATTGCTGATGAAACAGTCAATGCGAAATTATGAAGTTGAAAAATCAATTTAAGTTTGATTGGTGAAAAATCTTTCATGATGACTTGTCCACCAAATATAACGGCAAAATATGTAATACAACTAATGACAACTTCAGGTACTGTTGAAAGTGGTGTTTCTCCTTGAATGAATGCAAAATCTTCTGCATTGCTCCCTGTAACAAATTTATACCATTTTACAAAATAGTCGTCAATATATATACCAAAAGGTTGGTCTAATGATATTTGAAAAGTTCTATTTTGAATTGTTGTTGTTTCCATTTTGTTTATAATTATAATTATTCTTATGATTATAAAAACATTTATTTTTTTAATGTAATAATCTTCAAATCTATGTTCGTATATATATATATATATATATATATATGTATGTATGTATCTATGTGTATATTTATGTATGTATGCGTGTGTTTGTTTGTTTGTAAAAAAAGAAATACACTTGAAAGATTTTTTTATCTTATTTTAAATATAGTATTTTTTAAAAATATTGTTGGTATTATTTTTCAGAAAATTGCTTTTCCAATTAAAAATCTTTGAAAAAAAATCTTTTATTGAAGACGGGATAATCTTTTTTAGATATTTTTTGAAAGTTACACGTATGTACATTTTTATCACAAGTTTCATTCATAAACAAAAATAAGCGATTAAGTTCATTTTAAATAAACAATTCCAATTTAATTTTATTAATGCGGATAAAACCACAAATAAATTAGTCATTCTACAACCAAATTATATCTATCATACTATGCATGCTCTATGTTGAATGAAGGTCCAATTCTATAGCTGACTATGAACGAAAAGAAAATCTCATTACCGTTGCTGCCCGGCCAGATTTTCTTGTCATAGTGGTGGGTCAATTGAAGTCCCTCTTAAAAATCTCTGGCCTTTTTCGTTCTTTATACTCCAATCTTGACTATCAGCCGTTTTATCATCACCATCAGCAGCAGCAAGAGAATGATTATAACATTCTCCCAATTATAATTAGCAGGATAGCTTATACTGTTAACATCATGGTTCCAAGGGGTCTGGCATATATGCCTTTACATACCCGTTGTATAATTTAAATTAGTCCATTAATAATAAAAGGAATTTTGATATTTAACATATCTGGAACGTCCCAAACACAGATGATTACAAACCATCCTTCACATTTAAAACATTTATAGTTTTTACTCTACGCTTTTCTTTACGAACTCCCGTTTTAGCTGCTTTATGGGTCCAGAAGAGTGACCTTTGGAACTTGAAGAGAAAGGGGTGGTTGAATTTGGGAAATTGCATGCATATTTTAAATATCCACGCGCATCATCCGACAAAAAAACAAAAATGATATTTTCTTCCAAGAATATTTCATTCTCTCGTTTTTTTTAATTAAAATCAAGTGATTCTCAATCCTCGCTATAAAATTAATGAAAAGGAAGTTAATGATGGTGAATTATAAAAGATTGTATTGTGTTTATTTATTTGATACCAAAATAAAAAATTAAATGACTGAAGATGTAACTGTTTGTACTTATAAATTTATAAAAATAATACGTGTTACACTATACTAGTATGCCAACAACCAAATAAAAATTTAATCAGTATACTTGCTCAAATTCTACAATAGTTTGTTCATTGCCTTTTGTTTGCCAATATAGTTTAACCATATTAACCTTCTCCAAGATTTTCTAAATCGTCCATATAGAAAGTATTTCAGAGATTTGCTGTAGTTGGAATCTGTGAAGGAACAGAAAATGTAATATTATTATTATATGGGGCATGCTCAACAAAGTGAACAAATAAATTTCAGAGTTCAACATCGTAATTGTACTACCAATATAATGTGATTTTTCCTGCTTAACCCAAGTAAAGCTCCCAACGGTTTGGTTTCGGTTTTTAAAAAACCAATTGTACGTATATTTTTTATTTAATAATATATACATTCTTTTAAAATATTATTTGCTTATAATTAAATTCTTTAATTTTCATTTTTAATCATTTATAAATGTTACTTTTTGATTTTCACAGCAACAAATAAATCCCTTCTGCCAGGGTCAACATCAACTATTATATGTCCTTCCCAAATCTAATTTTTCGTGCTCATCATTCTAAATTTGGTTAAAATTCACGTGTAAAGTTTGATGATCTTTCTGAAAAAAACAACTATGTAAATTCTCTTTATTGGCAATATTTGCATTTTTTTACCATTTTACATTACATTCCAAGGAATAGGAATAGCATAGAATATATATATATACACAATTGTCTGAACCTAGTCAAATAAAAAAATAATGATAATTATTCAAAAGGCAAAAAATAGCCGCACCACTTTATATATATAACAATTTCTTCTTATATTAAATGATTTTTGTTTTTGTAGCCTGGAAATTCCTTTATATTGATTGCCGATTTTTTTTCTGATGGTATAATTTACCGTCTTTATCACGAATAAAAACATCCTAAAAGCGGGAAAGAAAAATTTGAGACGTTAATTATTTATTCTTTTAAAATAAACAAATTTAAAATCAATTTATAAAACCTTTTACCATAGTATTAACGTCTTTAAATCTGAATTCAAATCTTTTATTCTTCTCTTCATCATTTTGACATATTTCTTTCATTTGTTTTTTTACATTTTCTGATTTAATAGATCTTCTGTCCTTTAATGACGAATCAATTGCTTCTTCAAAATTTTTTTGCTCTTCGTTTCTTTTTTTAAGACTTTTCCTGTGCAATAATTTCGCTGCGTCCTATTGTTAAATAAAAGTTCAGTTGTGTCCCTGTACAAATTTTATATATGTATGCATCGTCTTCCTTCATAAATAAATTTACCTCTGATGTCATTTCTTTCTCTTCCTCGATCAATTCAAATCTAGGCTTCCCCATCTTTATATCAGTTTCAAATAATTTATCATCTCCACTTACACGTGTTCCCAACATTTTTTCCATATGATTACAAAAATTTTTTTGTAATTGAACTCCCTAATGTAAATAAATATGCGTGATACATGAATATAATATACAAATAAATTTTTAGTTATCATTTATCACATAAAACCTTTTTTCCCTTAAAGAAAGAGAAATTTCTCAGTAAATTTTTAACTTTAACCATTTATTAATATATAGTCTTCAAGACTAATCGAAATTTTGTTTCTGCATCATTGAAATCTGTATACTCGACGATATAGTTATTTTTTATAAATAAATGATGATTTACCTCTTTTTCCATATCTTTCTCAAGATTTTTCAATTTAACTATGGCTTGAATACGTTTTAATGAAATATTATATTTTGTACCAATCTCTCGCACTGTTTTATCTTCAATCATTACTCCCTTCCATATTTCTTCTTTTATTAAATCTGATAAAGGTGGCTGTGGTTTAAAATATGGATTCATTGGAAATGGCTACTAAGAAATAATAAGACATTTCAAAACAACAATTTAATTAAATAGTTAATCAAAATGTAAACATTAACATAAAAACCCACTTACTACATCTGAAGCCAAGTAATTAGTTTTGTTTAACAAAGGTTTTTCAAATAATTTGGCCTCATTGGCTAGCCATTCTTTGAACTTTGCTCTACGAACTCTACCCCCTGGTTTTGATGTTTCCGAGGAATATCTTTTCTTTACAGATTGACCAAAAAGAACTCGAAAACATCTATGAACGTTGTTAAGGATCATCATTTGATATTTGTAAAAAAAAATTTTTTTAAAAAAAAACACGAATCATTTTTGGATGCATATATATCACTATTACTGATTAAGGAATTCAATTTTGACGATCAACAAATCAAATTTAAGCACGTTAATTTATAATAATTTTTTAGTAATTTTCTTTTTTCAAATTAAAAAATATACAAATGCTCGATTTTTTTACAATCTTTACCAAAGGTGGTATTGTCCTTTGGACAAAATCCTTTGCACGTATCACTAATTCTCCTATAAATTTTCTGATTAAAGATATTTTAATCGAAGAGAGAGCTGGCGAAAATAGTTATATCAAAGATTCATACAGTTTAAAATGGACTTTTGCTAACGAGCTGGACTTGATTTTTGTGGTAAATGTCCAATAATGTGAGTCCTATATTAAATAGTACAAAAAGTTAATTATTGTACAATTTTATATTAAAAAAAAATGCGTTTTTTTTAGGTTTTTTTGCCTCCTTATTGCACTTTTTATAAAGTTAACAAATACATACATACATATATATATATTGATAAAATAATAGGTTGCATATCAAAAAATCCTTCAATTGGCTTATATAGAAGAACTTTTGGCAACGGTGAAAAAATTCTTTTGCGATAAATTTAGTGAATTTATTCGTGATACTTCTAAAATTCACGATTTTACTTTTGACGAAGATTTTGATAGAATTCTTGATAATATTGAAACCAAGGATACACAAGTATGTTAATAATGATATTTATATCGTAATAATATATGTACATAATATTATTATATTTTAAAATAAATCTATTTTTTTAAAGGTTCAAGAAAGTAAAAGATCAAAGCCAAGAAAATTTGAACAAACAAAAAAATATAAAGAAACTTTAGAAGGATCCAAAAAGCTTGGTTAATAATTTTTTACCTTTATTATAAAAAGAATAATTATGTTATGCAATATTATCTATTTTATTGATTCTTTTTTTTTCTTTTTTTTTAGACGTGAGTGACATAACTAAGCCACCTACAAATCCTATCGTTGATGAAGATGAAATAGCTCGTAATATCGAGGCACTTAATAATAAAAAAACTAAAGGTCGTGGCGGTCGAAATAAACCAAAAAACAATAAAAGTTCTAATGTATTATTATCCGAGTAAGTGAAATTAAACTTCAATATATATTATATTTGTATACTCAAAAAAGATATCTCTTTCATTTCACTTAGGAATGATAAGCCCACAAGAAAAAAGGTTATACGCGTATGGGATGATAAGATAACAAAGGAACAGATGGAAAGTCTTGATTATAGCGCTGAACAAAATAGCGATGTTGATTCTACGGTTGTCTCCAAACAATTCGTTGATCAAAATGAATTAGGGCGTCATTTTAATGACGGTCATTACGAAGTAAAAGATTTGGGTGGTAATGAAAGTGAAGGGGATGAAGATGAGGAGGAGGAGGAGGAAGAGATGAATGACAAAATTTCAAACGACAACCAAAACAAAGCATCGAGCATTTTTTCATTTTTCAAAAATATCACTGGCCAAAAAACTATTACTGAACAAGATCTTGCACCAGCTTTAGCTATTATGAAAGATCATTTGATAAAAAAGAATGTTGCAGCTGATATTGCAATACATTTATGTGAATCAGTTGCAAAAAAGATTGTCGGACAAAAAACAACAACTTTTAAAAGTATGTTTAAATCATATTATTCATCATTGTTATGAAGTCACTAATTGATCGTTAATATTTAATCTGTTGATTCATTGATATAATACAAAGGCATGCAATCCGTTGTTAAACAATCTATGGAGGATTCTTTAAAACGTATCCTTACACCAAAAACATCTGTAGATTTATTACGTGATATAGCACAAGCACAATCTGAATCTCGTCCATATACGATTTGTTTCATAGGTGTAAATGGAGTTGGTAATGATTTAAATTAGATAATAAATTAAATTTTCTTGTTTTGTTATCATAATTATTTCTAACTTAATTATTTTAAATAATAAAATTTATAGGAAAATCCACAAATTTATCAAAAACATGTTTTTGGTTATTACAGAATGGCTTGAAAGTGCTTATTGCAGCTTGCGATACTTTTAGATCCGGCGCTGTGGAACAATTAAGAGTTCATGTTAGAAACCTAGGTGCTTTAGGTTCTGACTCTTGTGTAGAACTTTATGAACGAGGATATGGAAAAGATGCTGCAGGAATTGCAAAAGATGCCATTAATTATGGTGAATTTTTAAATATTTTTTTAATGTGATGATGATGTTGGTAATGCAGTTACGAATTTTAATGAATATAAATATTATTTGAACTATTTAGCAAAGTTAAATAAGTTTGATGTGGTTTTAATCGATACTGCTGGCCGTATGCAAGATAATGAACCATTAATGCGAGCTTTAGCAAAGGTTAAAAAAATAAAATAATTTATTCATTATTATTTTATTTTTATATATACGGATTAATGTTATTTTATATATTTTTTAACATTATATTTATATTTATTCGTTTTATTTAGCTTGTAACTGTGAATAATCCAGATAAAATAATTTTTGTTGGTGAGGCTTTAGTAGGAAATGAAGCAGTTGACCAATTAACTAAATTTAATCAAGCTTTAAAAGATTTTTCAGGATTGCAAAATCCTAGACATATTGATGGAATCATATTGACCAAGTTTGATACTATAGATGATAAGGTTTGGTTTTTTCCTATATAATATATATATATAATATACACACACATATAAATTTGTATTTTTAACAAATAAAAAAAAATAATTGAAATAGGTGGGAGCTGCTCTTTCAATGGCTTACACAACTGGTCAACCTATCTTGTTTGTTGGTACCGGACAAACATATACAGATTTAAAAAATATGAAAGTAGCACATATTGTACAAGTACTTCTCAAAGATTAATTAATAAATAACTATAATTTATTATTTAATTTTATCATTATTAAATTTGTATAGAATATTTCATTCATCCTTTTCATTATTATTAAAAAATAAAGCTTTATTAAAAAATATAAAATTTTAGCAAAAAGTACAATTGATTTTAAAATAATAATAACGCTTCAATATTAAAGATGAATATAAATAGTTATTTAAAAAAAATGATGATGATACATAAAATAGTTAAAAATCAAAAAGATAGAGGATCTTTTTTTTTAAAAAAAAGCTTTATGGAAAATACAATTCAGAAGCTCCGGTTACAACTGTCAAATTCACATTAGAATTGTAACCTAGTTTATTATATTTGCAGTTGTGTTTCTTATTGATTTTACCTTTGTAACCTTCTTTATGATTACGTGTATCCTTTTCAAAAGTAATTCCTTCTCCTTCCACATAGGCATATCCTGTGGCAGATGAAGCCAAGAAATTGCCTCTGTATGTTTCAGGCTAAAAAAAAAATCGAGTATTTAAAATTAAAATTAAAATTAAAATTATATATATAAAATGCAAATTAACAAATATTAAAGATGAAATTAAATGACATTTACAATACTGGCAATAATTCCACCATTAACGGAATGACCTTTTAGATCGATTTTTTGAGTTTTCATTAATTCATCCTATTATTAATAGCAAAAAAAAAAAAGAAAAAATTTAATAAATAAAACCAAATCAAATAAGCACAAAATAAACGAAATTCCTTTTTTCTTTTAATAAAAGAAAAAGACAACTAACCACTTTAATATTTAAATTTCCATTAAATGATGACAAGCCAACAAAAACTGAGTCAGACAAAGGATTGGGTGTGGCGGTAAGATGAATAGGACCATTAATAGAACGAACCTATTTATTAAACATAATTCATATGAATAAGTATATGTGGGTGTAAATGTAGGCGTGGACGTGTATATTTTCTCGATTAATTTACCTCTAAATTTTCTCCTACAACAACAGCTCCATTGACGTGTCCATTAACAGTTGAAATATCAGCGTTAGCAGCAGTCAAACTCTATTAAAAGTTTGGAATTTAATTAATACAATGTTATACATAATAATAATGATGTGATTAATTTGAAAACTTACATTAATACGTATGTGACCGTTTGATGTTTTCAGGTTAACATAGGCAAAATCAACGTTATCCAATGAATTAACTGTGATCCAATTATTTGGAGCATCTACGGAAATAGATCTAAAAACGTTTATTGAGGATGGCAATGTGATTATGGTATCAACAAGAATACAGCTAGGTGGAAAGTTAAAGGATGGAGTCTAATAACAAAATTTTTAAAAAATTGTATAAATTGTTAATTATAATTTGAAAATAAAATAATTTAAAACGCAAATAAATAAAATAAATAAATAAATACATCGACAGTAATTAAAGAATCGCCATCAGAATAACTAATCTTGACGTCGATTTTTTCTTGGAGACTTTCACTTCCAATATAAATACTATTTGTAATGTTAATAGAACCTTTTGATTGAGAATCTTGACGAATAGTAACACTTCCGCGCTGTCATTATTATTAAAAATAATTTGATTATTGTTAGGTGGTAATAATATAGATTTTAACATGTGTATTTTGATATATTTACCGCAAATAATCCTTTAACTCTAAAAATCAAACCAGAAGTGGTTGTTGGATCAATCAATAATTCACTTGGACCATCCCATTTTATATTAGGTTCACATTTTGGTGAGATTGGAAATCCAGGTAAAGAATGAAGTCTGGGTGATGTATAACAATCTCCAACAACATTATCAGTACTTGGTTCTAGAACTTCGACCCAAAGAAATTGATCTTCGTCATGAAATTTCTTTATTAAATAGTAACAAATAAATAAATTATTATTAAATGATAAAAGTCTAAAAAAAATAAAATAAACAAAAAATATATATGAACTTAAACATATATATACATTATTAATTGGGGAGAATGCAAACCATCCAAATAACAATTTACTAGCAAAAAATACTACTAAGATTAAAATCAATGCTCTTCTCCAAGCTTTTCTTCTTTCATAACTTCTTTTAAAGTGACAGTCATGAGCAGCATTGTTGACAAAATGAATTGGTAAACCATCCTTATTTGAATGTGCTTTGCCTTCCATTTTTTTCGATTCTTTTAATAAATATAATTTATTAACATTACATATTTTTGATTGTAAAAAATATTAGTTATTTATTTATTTATTACCTGAAGCCTTTTCAGAATCTTCAAGTGGAACAGCAGTATATTCTACTTTAACTTTGTTGTCCATTAGTAAAAATTTTCGTTATATTAAGAAAGAATAATAGTTTAATATTAATGACTGTGTCAGTTTTGGGTTTTTTATTGGTGATGATCGCCTTAATATTTGTAAATTTTACATCACCCCCAACAGGATCTAGTCAATTTGTATATAATCTTAGAAATTCCATGATGGGCGTTACATGTCAATGATCGCCTGATAAATGCAAAATTTGATTTTATATTGTATTGGCTTCCCATTTATAACAAACTTATTGTTTAATATTAAGGTATATAGATATCTTTGGTGCGCTAAGTGATTGAGTCATGTGATTTTATAATGAGTGACATCGCAACATTTGATAATAACGGATAATTCTAATAATAATAAACAATGGTTTTACACTAATAATTCTTCAAATAAAATCATTTATTTTTTATTCAAAAAATAACCTTACTATTGTTTTAATTAAATATTCAAGTCTCTTCTAAATGTATAAATAAAGATGAAATTTTCTTTTAAAATTGATAATAAATAAATATCTATATACAATTAATAGTTTTTTTTAATTTCTTTAAATTCTACAAAATTATAAATGTCTTTTCCAAAAAACGTGTATATATTACTGCTGAACAAAAGCGCGAGTTATGTTTATTGAACCTAGACCAAAGAATATTGAATTAGCACAAGCCAAGTTGATGATATATTGAAAGAGTCTAATAGATGGATCCAAATTCTCATCAAGCAAAATTAAAAAAAGCACATACTTCTTGTTGCTAATGTTGAAGATGCTTTAATTTTATGACCCAGAAAGCACTCTAATGTAATGTAACGATTACAGGTAACGTTATCCAATAAAATTTGCAGTCATTGGATAAAAATACTTTTAAAGCATCATCTCGTTGGCTTGATAAATTCAAGCAGGGATGTTTGATTAAAGAATAAACACGAGGAATATAAAAGTGCACCTATTGAACAGATTCCTGGAATGAGAGAAAAATTGAAGGTGTTTATAAAAATTACAGAAAAGAGGGCATTTTTAATTGCGATGAGACAGGTCTTTTGGAAAATGGAACCAAGTCACGGATTATCAACAGCCCCCATCCCATGTTTAAAGTTGAATAAAGAAAGAACAATAATATCGTTAACTTGTAACGCAACTAGTACTGAAAAGCTATTTCCTTTATTTATTCATAAATATGAAACCCTCAACCATCAAGAGGGATTAAAAAAGATACATTTCCAGTTTACTATTATTGGAATAGTAAAGCATGGATGCAAAACAATAAAATGTGCGTTGCAAATAAAAAATATTATTTGCATATTTTTAACGGATAATTTAGAGTTAAATTTCATCACTTTCCTCTAAACATAATTAAGCACCTTCAACCATGCAATATAGGGATAATTCGTTCTTTTAAGGTTTGTATTAAATTATTTACATTTATAACAATGTATTTACAGTCTAATGTTTATTGTAAAATTTTTGATAAGGAACAAAACCATTTAGATCCGAAAGAAATTGGCATTATAAAGGCAATAAATTTTGTTGGATTAATAATTGCTGGATAGAAACTGGTATTATTCCTTTAGATTATGAAGAACAAATCGGAAATGCAACAAAATTAACACAAAATATTATAAATTATCAAAGAGACGATGTTGATAACTTAACTGATAGATTAAATTTCAGTTCAGCATTAAAAACAGAGGAATATATACCAATTGATGATGACGAGATTAATGAAGAAATTCTTGGTTCTTTTGGTCAAATTGAAGAGGAAGATGTTATTGTAAGTAATACAATTATTTCTATTGTTTCAATAAATGAAGCTGAAAAAGCTTTTGAAACTGCTGCTTTTAATTCTTTTGAACAAAATAACGTACAAACAGATTATGACGAATTAAAAGCTTTAAAATCATTGAAAAAAAAAATATAATCATAGTAGTCGCGGGACATTGCAGATCAAGTGTCATTCAATATAAACGTTACACAAATAAAATTATTATCGTCCACTTCAAAAAAAAAATCTCCGTTTTTCATATAGCAAGCGATTTTTAACCCATAATAAATTTTTTAGAGCCAGACTGGGGCTTTTAACAATAGTTAAAAGAAAAGACTAGCTTAAATATTGGTTATTCTACGCCAGGTCAAAAGCGTTTCTTTTCTTCACACTTATTTTAAGATTATCGCTCAACCAGTATGCAGACTAAAGCAAATTCAGCAGCAACAGTTGTGCCAAACTGTTCCCTATAAAGTCGCTTATAACGACTTGAAAGGTTGTGTTAGAAAAATTTTGCTTTTAATTATAAGGGACTGATTTATAAGGTTATTAATTTATTTAGAATATTAAAATTACATGGTCAAAATTTCAAAATAATAATAATAATAATAATAATAGTTAATTTATTGTTTGATAATTATGAATACAAAGAATTGGAGAAATAATAATTAACAATAAAGAAATTTATTTATTAATAATAGACCTTTGGCATAGTACATCAAGCAAGGTTTGAATATTTCGGAATAAAGCTCTAAAGGGTTGTGGTGGTAGTGATGGTAATGATGGTGGTAGTGGTGGTAATGATGGTAGTGGTAGTGATAGTAATGGTGGTAGTGGTAGTGATAATCGTAATGCCATAGATACAAGTTGTAATAAAAAAATAAGATTATTATTATCATCATCATTATAACTTGCCCAATATAAATATATTTTGTTAATATTTAACTTATTCCAAATGATCTGATAAAATATACCAAATACAAATAATTTCTATTTTCTAAAAATAAATAATCAATAATAAAAAAAAAATGATCGCGTAACGGATTGTACACTGTCAGATCGTTCAACCTTTGCAACCTTTAAAAAAAGAAATAAATATATTAATAAATAATTAATAATAAAAAAAAAAAGATCGCGTAACGGATTGCACACTGTCAGATCGTTCAACCTTTGCAACCTTTAAAAAAAGAAATAAATATATTAATATAATCACACATACCTTTAATAATAGCAGTAACATCAGTGCTTGTATCTTGAAATAATTATTTACATTGATATATAAATGTATAAATAAAAC